ATTCAATCCCTAATTGCATATTCTCCTCTAATTCTACCCTACACAAACAGCTCCACTGCACTGGAGTGAGCAAATGCCCTCAATAACACCCACAGCATCTTGGGACCAGCTGACAAGGCTCAGCCCAAGAGCAGCATCCAGTCCCACCAGTGAAGACCAGCAGCATGGCATGGGGATAGGCAGTATCATGTCCCCTCTCCATCTCTGGGGCGTGCTTGGGGATTCCCCATTTCCCAGCCCAGCCTGCCCTTTCCCAGCTTCCCCGAAGGATGGGAGAAGCTTCAGTGGGATTGGGGGAGCTGTGATTTCCTGGGAAGATTCAGGGGTCCTGCAGATGGGTCCAAACACAACTGAAGGGTAGGGTTTGCACTCTCATCTCTGCCCTGTTTCCTCTGGCACTGAGGAAAAGCGAGCAGCATCAGTGCAAGCCAGCCCCTCCCCTATTACTCTGGTGCCTCTGCTCTGGCTGAGGAATTATTTCTTGGTCTTGCACCAATTTTTCCAGCCTTCCCGGACACTATAAAACACCTGTGGTTACCCAAGGACGTGCGCTCACAGCCTTGCTTCACCACCAGCCCAGGCAGTTTGGAAGAAAATTAAACTGTGCTTTTTCCTGCAATGCTGGTGGCTCATTGCGGTGTGATTAATTACCACCAGCTCTGCCCTTACCGGCGCCTGCAACCCGCAGACACCCATCACAGTGCCCTCCTGCACCCTCTCCTGCCTCTGCTCGCTGCCCGTGCCCAGCACCACCTGGCACAGCACCAGGCACTGCACCCAAGAGCAGTGGGGGTACAGGGACATGCCAGCATCCCTGTGCACCTTCACAAATCCCACCTCCCCGTCTGGGGAGCAAGGGGCCACAGACAAGCCTGGAGGGCTTGTGGAGCCATTGGCAAAACAGTCTCATTAATGCCAGCAGGCGCCTCCCGAACACCAGCTCTACCTGGCAAATTAATTTAAATTATTTAGGTAATTTGAATTCTGTCTATAAAAAAAAAAAAGAGGGGGAGTGAGACAGAAGTATACACAACACACTTCCCAGGTAGTTAGGATGCCGCATTGCTTAAGGCTTCATTTGCACTTTAATTGCTTTGATTTATTCCAGCTTTCCTGAGTGTAAATCTGAAGCTCCCCCTCACTCAGTCCTTCAGCCCCCTGGAGAGCTGCTGCTCCACCAAGCCCTTTTGCTGCCTGCCATGCCCCGTCCCCAGTGTGAGGCAGGAGGAGGACTTGCCGGGGACTGGGGGGCAGCTGCAGCAGAGCCACCAAGGCGATGGCATTGCTCTCTGGCAGCCGGCTGTGCTCCAGGGAGCAGCTGAATTGCAGCCAAGCGATCTGCTCTTGGCAGAGGTCAGGGCAAGGAAGCCCGTTCAAGGCTGTTCATCTCTTTCATGATTTGTGACCCCAGAATTATTTGTGAGGATGGGGCTTACAGGCAGGGCAAATTCTCCTCTGACTGAGAAAAACCTATAAACCATGTCATCCCCATGCCATTGCATGTTCCTGCTTCACCTCACTGACAGTCGGTGCTGGTGGGTGTTTGGTTCAGCCTCACTAACCTGCAGGCTGAGATTTCACCTGCCCCCCCCCAGCAGTCCCTGGGGACTGACAGAAGGAGGATGCTCATACCCTGTGGGAGGTTGCTGCTGGGCAGCGGCTGCACCCTGCCCCCTCCAAGGCATCCGGGATCTCAAGTGCATCCTGTGAAGGAAATGAGATTGAGGAAGATTTTTCCGGACCCTGCCCACTAATTGTGTCTGAAGGAGGAAACAGCCCACTTGCTAATGATTACAGATAGTTTACTGTGTGGGCACATTAAGAAGTGGGGAAAGAGCTGCAAACTGTTCCCAGAACCTGCCCAAAATAAACAATGCAATGTCAGACAAAACCAGCTCCTGCTTACACCAGTGAGTGCATCAACTGTGCTCTCATGCTGCAAACACCCACAGTCCCCTTTGGGGTTCACTTCACCCCCCTTTCCCAAAAACAAATCCAAGCAGAAGGTATCAGAACTGTTCCCTGAGTCGAGAAAAAATAAAACCACCCTCTCAAACAGATCATTTTGTTGATGGGGTGGGGAACTGCTGCCTGCCCAAAGCAGAGCCCTGTACAGAATAGATGGATGGCCTTTTTATTCCCAGTCCTGTCCCCCGCAGCCATCCTGGTCAGGGCTCTCTCACCAACACAGGCAGCTGCAGCTGCCGGGAACATCTCCCCATTCACAAACACACTGAATTTGACGATATTTGACAGATGTGTCATAAAAAAATAGGCTTTTCAGATGTTTCGCGTATTTAAAAATAGTTAAAGAAGGTAAATGATTCATTCTGACTTGTATGTAAAATGTGAAATTATAATACTATGTTTTGACTCTACCAAAACAATTTACCATTTTCTAAGCAAAATGTTTCTGTAGAGGAATTTCTTGATGTTTCCAAGTTGGGTGCATTTTCAAGATTTTGTTCTGATCTGGATCAAACCCCAGATTTAAAAGTGTCAAAATCTCCCACGGTTTGTTGCTTTCTTGCCAAAAGGGGCATGTTTGGTAAACATCTATCTGCATGTGCGTTTGCCACAGTGGGACATGCACATGGACCTCAGCGCCTGTGGAGTGCAGGTCCTGATTTTGGAGCTGTCCCCATCCTCTTCTCCCTACTGCAGGCTCCTTCCACCCTCTGCTCTCCCTTCAGCAGAGCTTTCCTCACCAGTTCTGGGGCATTTCTCTCTCTGCTACCTCGGGGGTCCTCCTGGGCCTTCTGCTCCTCTGCCAAAGTCCTTCAGCACTTTCCCCATGTCCCTGCACTCCCAGTCCCAGTGCTCCTGCAAATGCTGTGCTCAGCACTGGCTCTCTCAGTGGTGTCAGACTTGCCCCTGCCAGGGGATTTTGACCCAACCATACCATTTTTTTTGTTTGGTTGGTTTTTTCCAGGCTTTTTCTCCACTTTTTTTGAGATGCTGTTGGATTTTAGGTATTTCCTCCAGTACGCTTCCAGCCCACCCTACAGTGTGCTGCCAGTAGGTATAACAAACAACCTCGCTGGTTCCCTAGCCAGATCACTTGTGACAGTGCCAGCTCCTCAAGCAGCTCCTGTCCCCTGCCTAGGAAACTATTTTGCTTTCATCTGAAGATGCTGTGCCATCCTTGTGCTGGGAACAAAGGCACTCAGTGCACAGAACCCTTCCTCCTCCAGGCATGGCAGGGCTGACAGTGCACCTGCAACTTGCATTTGCACAAGTCATGTCACTAAAATACAGCAACACATCAGCAGCTTTGACCTCTGCTGGTACCTTCCTGGATAGAAAGGCCTCACCCAAGTGGTCACCAAGTTTCACCTGCACACAAAGACCACAGGTTGGATTTTCCCAGTGCTATCCAGAGGCAGGAACACAAACACCACAAGCAAGCCAGGCCAGAAGCACAAAACTTGGATCTGATGTCAGTAGCCTGAGGATGTATTTCTGCATGTGACTCACTACCATGTCCTCAAATAACCTCACACTGTCAGTACTGGGGGAAAGGAAAACATGGAGCCAGAGTACAGTCGTCACACAGATGCTTTCCTCCACTGCATGCTGGAAAACACCCCCATCCCTGCTCTTGCTCATCCTTGTCCTCACTCTCCTGGGTGCTGGCAGAGAGGCACAAACTTTCCTAGGAGTCATGCTCCCAGCATCCTCATTTAATGCACCAGGTGCCTGAGAGCCAGGTGGGAGAGGGAATCAGCTAATTAAAATAAAATGGAAGCTGGTGTGTGAAGCTATAAATAGCAAAGTGCTGGGAGCTTCCTGGTGCTAAAAGCATGCTTGTGGGGAAGGAGCTCCTTGGAGCATTGGGGCAGAACTCCACGGATCTACCAGGGAAGATGCATCTGAAATCCACAGGCATTTCCTGCCTCTGTGAGAGGGTGTTCAGACAGGGATGACTCTGAAGTAGATGGCTGAAGGGATGAGGGGCTGGCTTGCAGGCTCTTCTAGAGACCTGGGCAGAGAGTCACCTGCTGGCTCCTCTGACCTGGGGCCAGGCTGGCTGTCAGACTTAAGGCAGCAGGAGAGGTACCTCTCCACTTAACTCCTCCCTCACCCACACCATGGAAGGAAGGGGTGTAGGAGGCAAATGCCCGATGCATGTAAAGCAGGGCAAGCTTCAAAGGGATGAGTTGGGAGGATGGAGGTGTCTGACTCTTAAACTGTAGTCACGGAGATTTCTGCTACTTGAAGTTGAAGGTGTTGAGTACTTTTTGCACTCAGTAGCTCTCAGGAGGTGCTGCATTAGGGTGGCAGGACAGTAAGTGTCCTGCTGCCACAAGAACGCTTACTCTCCTTGTGTCCCCAAGCAAGCAGAGAGCCTGGGTGCTTAAGGAGAGGAGTTGGCTTCGGCATCATATAGCTGGGGAAGCACCTCTGGAGGCCAACCAGCCCTTATACAAAGCAAGTGTCATCTCTGCCCTCCCTGGAACTGCCTCCAGCTTGTCCCTGCTGCCAGGCTGTGGTGGCATATTGCAGCTGGGCAGCAATCACAAAGAAACAACTATGCTCCTGTTATTATTCCCTCTCTGTCCTGAGCACAGCATTAGTAGAGGTGAGATGAGCTGGGCAGGCTGCTAGTGCTGCCATCGGTCTGGCCTTTGATTAAGACTGATTGTTCTGCCCTTAATTAACAGGAGACAGCTGCTGGCTGCTCTGGTGGAATGGAGGACCAGAGCCCAGTGGTTGTGATAAAAGGAGATTGTGTCTGCTGGTTCCCACTGAGCCTGGCAAGGCCACCCTCTGCCCAGCCATGCACAGGGCTGCGGGCAGTGCCACTGCCAAACCTCGCTGAGGACCCCAAACACAGAGAGGGGGACTCTGTCCCTCCAGCACCACCAGGGTTCAGCCTCTGCGTGAACTGGCAGCAGAGATGGGGGGGATCTGGATAATCCCTGGGGTGATTTTGTTGCTGGCTGTTTCTAAGCCACCTTAAGGTGGTACTGCTGGCTGGTCCCCACAGGGTTTATTCCCCTATCTCTACTCCTCAGAGACCTCCCTGAGACAGAGCCTCTCCTGTGACAGCAGGTCTCATCTTCTGGTGACACCAGCCATCTGGCCTGGCCTGCACGAGGTGATGGACTCCCCTGAGAGGAGATGTGGAGCTGCTCAGCCTGTCACACTGACAGCTGATCCACTTCCCCATGAGATGAGAAGGCAGCTCAGCTACTTCTGCTCCCTAGTGAAGTGACTTGTGAGCAGGCAGCAGGGTATGGGTGTATCCCAGTAAAGCTTCACCATTGCACCACTTTTCTGAGTTCAAGTGCTGCAAAGTTCACCTCAAACCTTCATAACGCTGGGACAGAATGCAAGAAAGAAGTGGTGGGTAATTTGCAAAATCAAAGAACCTTTGCCTTGCCATGCAGTCAGTGAATTTATTTTGGCAAGGCTGGTTCAATGTTAATTATTGATGACAGTAGCTCAATTTTGTTTATCATGAAACCGTAGCAGGATGAGAACCTGGTGGTGCACCTTCCAGCAGACAGCTATTAACCTGTTTTAAATCACAGTTGAGTCACGGTAGGGGGCTGGTGATGCCACAGGCTAGAGATGGGCCTCAGTGGACTCTGTTCTGCACTTGTGCTCCACCATTTAAGTCCATGCCACTGCCAGATCCTTCTGGAACAGGCTCTCTGGCATCAAGCTTGGGGTTACCCTCCCCATTCTGTGCATGCCTCAGCCTCTGGGGTGGAGGCAATGGTGGCATCTGCTGCTCTGGCATCACTTGGGAGATGAGCGTTGCACCCACCTGACGCAGTGCAAGAAAAATAACACCAGCCCAGAGGTTGCTGGGGAGGCATTTCTCTTCCTCTGGTTTCTAGCCTTCTCTCTACTAGTCATCTAATAAATCTAATAAAAGCTGTATTGCTGGTTTTGAATTCAATTCCAGCACCCAGAGACCAGGCTTCTTATGTCACTCACAGACCTAACCAGCTCCATCCTCGGCGTACAAGCCAGGCCAAGGGGCTGCTGCAGGCTCCTCCAAAAGAGAGCAATTACCTGGGATCAGGACTCACTCTCCCAATGAATTATATGCTTATAGGTTTTCCTTGGGTCACACCTACTTGAATTATTTAGATACTTGAACACAATAGTCAGAGGCAGCTGTTGACTTCTAGACTGAAATCTGAGCACTAAATGAAGTGCCTTGAGTTTCACCTCAAAGACAATTCACCACAGCCCCTCCTGTTCACACCCTCACGCAGCACCAGCAATTTGCAATGTGTTCAGCCTAATGCCACCTTCAGCGAGTGGCTGGGCTTTGATGCCTACTCTAAAGGAAAATGGCTTCCAAGGTCACACAGAGTTGTGACCAAGCCTAGTTCCCCAACTTTGCTCCAGCACCTGGAAACACAGATGGTGGCTCTGCTCCGTGGTGCATTTTCTGGTCACTGACCTCAGTGGTTCATCAGTGCTGGGAGGGTCACAGAGCCAGGGCTGCAAATGCTCTGATCTGAGCTTTGAGGAGCACATCTGATGAAGGCTTCTGGTCCCATCACCTTCACAAATGGGATCACCCACGCTGTGTCACACACTGCTAAGGAACCACTGCAGAGCTCGCAGTGGGAGGGATTTTGGTTTCCACAGTGGTGCCCTCCCAGAGGTCCTCCTCGTGCCTCCCAGGCAGCGACACAGTGATGCAGGATGACTGGAGAGGTGCTGGGAACTGCCCACAGCCCTTTGCATGGGCACCAGCCAGCACGCAAGCAGGAAGAGATTGGGGTGGCTGAGACGAGCGTGACCCCAGGGATTTGAGGTAACAACCTCTGTATCTCAGTCAAGACCTCTGGTACCCTCTCCTTTGCATCTGTCCTGCGGTGCCAGCCAACCGGGGACACTTCCATGCACCTTGTGCAGCTCAGACCACCAGCGATCCACCTAAAACAACTTCAGGGTGCCCCTGCAAGGGTCTGAGCTGTTGGTTAGGCAGCACCCTGAGGTGCAGAGGTGTTTGCTGCTCATTGGGATTAAGCCGTTACTTCACATGAACTGTTGGTTTTTCAGGCTTTCCCTGCTAATGAAATTCTCTCCCTCCCGAGAAATAAGAAAAAAACCCCAAATCATCGATCCCTGTAGAAGATTCATGCTTGGAAGGACCTGTGTGTCATGCTGGCCCGTGGAGCAGTGTGAGACGGGGAGGGCAAGCAGACAGGAGCAGGAGCCTGTCCCCAGCGTGGGGAAGCTCCTGTGCTCCTCACTGCCAGGTCCCAGGTGAGGAGGGTGCTCAGTGCAGAGGCAGCATGGAAATTGGGAGATGCTGGAGCTTCCCCATCCGACAGCACAAGCAGGCATCCTCTCCCCCAGGAGGATGTGACAATTTGCTGTGCTGGAGCTCATTGCCAAAGAGATAAAATATTTATGGCTGCTCTCTCTTGCTTCCTGTTTCAAGCCACCGTGACTTACTTGTTCCAAATTTACATGCATGTTTAAAGTCATCTTTACATTCCTTCTAAGTATAAAAGGTTTATTTCTCCATGCAGAGTTTTGCCAGTCAGAATCAGCCACCCCATCTACTATGTGACTGCATTTGTGCCTGGCTTCAGTGCTCATTTTCCTCTTGGTAATGATTATCATTATATGAAGAAAAATGGGTCATTTAGAGCAGTTTCTCCCCAAATGAAAGGCTGTGGGATACAGGATATCATTAAAATTCTAAACCTGACTTCCAACCTCAAAGGCAGGCTCTTGCTATTCGGTATCTCCGTGGAGGGAGGGAGGGAGGGAGGGAAAGAGGGCGCACGATGAATGCGCTTTGGCCGTGAAATGACTGGCTGAGTCCGCACGGCCGCTGCTCCCGACATCCGCACTGGCATTAAGGCCCCCGGGCTGAGGTTGTCGCCTGTGCTGGTCACACACAGACTCCCTGCCCAGCAGGGGAGGGCAGAGGCTGCCTCTCAGCCTCTCCAAGGCTTTCTTCTGGCCAGCACATCCCCAGGACTCCCACTGCACCCGCTCCCAGCCACGGTGTGTGTGGGACAGTACAGCCAGAGCAGGCGATGGGAGCTAATTCCTACCATAAAAAGAGCAATTTAGCTCCTGCCAGGAGGATGTGGCCGGGTGAGGTCCCCTGCAGAAGGGGAGGCTGGCAAGCTTAAACACTGGTGCTTGGACAAGGGAAGAAAGCAGGCTGAAGTGCTCAGATGCAGCATCCCTGGAGGCAGCGCTTGCCTTGCCCTTACCCATTGCTTAGGGCTTAAGTAACTCCCATCTGAGAGTGTCAGTGCAGTCCCACGGGCCAGCTGGCCGAGGCTAGGACCTGCCACCAGTCCCTCTGACACCCCTGTACCCACAACTGCAGGGGCCCAGAGGAGGAGGAGATGCTTGCCCAGAGTCTGTCTTCACCTCTTCAGCCCTGAATCCAAGCTCCCAGCATCAGGGTCCCCTCCAGGCTTTGGGCTCACTCCTTCCCTCCTCATTCATGCTGACAGGGAAGTGTGCTCTGCACACATTCAGTGCTAGCTTTGTATGTGACAGCAGAGGTCCCACTGCCTGGTGTTCCCTGCTTCCCTGCTCCGCAGCACGCTGCTGCCTCAGAGTCTCGTTTCTATCTTTCGGTATCCCCAGAAGGGGCTTCACGGGAAATATTTTGCTTGGAAAGGCTATGCAACTTCTGTGCAAGCCTGAAATTGCTGTGTACAGAGCTGTAAGGCAAAGATAATCCGTTTTGCAGCTTAGCCTGCTGCTGAAAGATGCTATTTAAGAGTGAGGAACGGCTGTTTTTCTCCCCTTCGTGAAATGGGAGGGAGAAGAGGATGAGAGATGGAGACTGACCCAAAATGGCTAATTTAGAATCGTCTTTTAAGAAGGGAGACTTGCCCTGAACTGTCAACTTTTGAAGTTGTTCCTTTCTAACTGTGCTCAGAATGGACTAATTTTTCATTCTCTTTTTTTCACATTTTAAATAAAAATGTGCATGGAAAGCTCTTTTGCTGCTGATCCCAGCCTAGCAAATGCACCATGGCTAACACCATGCCTCATCATGGGATTTGGGAACAACCACTTCAGCCCATCCTGGTGACTACATTAAACCAGCTCCACATGGGTTTTTAAGCAAAATTAAAAAACAACAAAGAATGGTTAGGAGGCAACTTAGGATGCTTTGTTCAACCTCAGAAATGCATCCATTCTCTCTGGGGTTATTTTACCCTCCACCTCCCCTTCCCTCTGCTGATAACTTTAGATTGACTTTGAAATAGCAAATGGTTTGAACTTTTCAGGAACAATGAATATGGTTTGCTAGAAAACACAGTTCCAGGGGAAGAGGATTAGGATTCAAACCTCATTCCCAACTGATGTCAGGCAAAAGCAAGAGCAATAAAACCTCCTTCTATATACTAATGGCCACAAAGTCATCATCCACCTTCTCCCCTGGCGGGAGGGAAGCTCATCCCTTGGGAATTGGGAATAAAGTGTGGAATGGAGCTGATATTTCCCAGTTTTTCAGAGAAATAACATGAAACATGGTAAATGTCTTTCTGGCAGGTGTTTCTCATTGAATTTTCAAATCTAAGAGGCACAGGAAAATTGATGTTTGCAGGGCAACAGGCATCCCTCCTGTACAATGATGAAACCCTGCTAAGGTGAGATCCAGGGAGACCGGGGGAGACTGGGAGAGAATAGGACCACCAGTGCTCTCCCATGGGATCTCCCGCAGCCTGATTTGTCTCATTAGGCAACCATTTCTCATTAGGATTCCTGGAAGCCAACCTCCCAGCATGGGGGACCCAGGGGATCCTCCACCACCGCAGCTCCAGGGGTACCTGTCTGCTCTGATGCCCCATGTGCTACAACAGCACTTCCCTGTATTTACACAGTTGCATGAAGTAAGGATGGCCCCACTCTGGGTGGTTAATTCCTGTGTAATTAGGTAGCCAACATCTGCCACAATGCCCACATGAAGCCTGCACCTTGTAGCCACCACCACGCTTAGCTCCTGCCTGTAGGGATGTACTCATGTCCCACACAGACACTGCTCTCTGGGCACAAGCAGCCCAGAGGAGCTGGTTATGAGCACAGGGGACAAATACGGGACAGAAAATCATGAATTTCTATTGTCTGAGGGATGCAGCAGAAACTGAGTTGGTGGGGGGAGATACTCACACCCCCTGGTCCTCACCTAGTGCCTGGCTGTCCTGGTGGAGTAGGTTTTGAGGCAGGGCACAGGCACCAGGCAAAGACTCAGCTCACCACAAAACCATATGAGAAGCATTCCCACCACGGAAACAAGCTGTGCTAAGCTTTCCAACACAAAACCCACTACAGCCGACCTCTTCCAGGGAAAGTACCAGAAGCTTCCTGCTCTCTCCAGACTTGGAGCATTTCTAGCAGCCTGGGGACTGATTTCAATGCGATTTCTGTTATTTCAAGTGCAAAATGGCAGCTGGGTCGTTTGCTCCTGCTGTGCACCATGAGGGTGCACTGTCTGGGGGTGATGGTGCTCCCTGTTGTGGTGCTTGCCCACCATGGCTGAGGCCTGGACGCTCTGCTAAGGGGAGCTCTGCTTCTGGGATGGAGCTGCCCCACTCCCCAGTCAAGCAGCACCCACCACCAGTACAGTGGGGTAGGACACGGGGATGGTGGGACCCTCCTTTCTCCTTGTGTTGTGTCCTACAGAGCCCTGCCCCACTCCTGAGGAGAGCACAGCTCGAGCTGTTCAGTACTTTGCTGTTTTCTGCTTACTCAACTGTGGGCTCCTGCCAAAGGAGGGACTGACCTCCCAGACTGCGTCTGGCTGACACCACAGCACTTGTGCTTCCTTCCCAGGGGACATCCATTAGTGCCATTAGCTCTGTCCCACTCTGCTGCTCTCCCTGACAAGTGCTGGCCCAGGGATGGAACATCACTCAGAGGAGACCTTGGCCAGCAGGGTATCTCTGCTTCTGTGAGATGCTCTTTGGGCTGCTTCCCCCAGTATTTTGCTTCAGCTCAATTTTTGGGTGTTTATTCCTGCCTTGAGAGTCCTAGAGCCCTTCCCTAGACTCCCTTCTTTCAAATCCTCTCTTCCCAGCCTCCTTTGTGTGGCACAGCCATCACTCTACTCCTGGGTGATGGTGGCTGTCCATCGTGCCTGTAGTGACGATTGGGTGTTTTTAACCATGTAGCTAAACCCTGCAGTCCTCCTGCAGGAACAGAGTGAGCTGGCCTGGGCAGGGCTTGCTCCCTGTCCCCAGAGGGGCAGCTCCAGCTTGCAGCATGAGCTGGGGGGGATACAATCCCCCCCTGGTGCTCAGTCTTGCTTCCTGCTTGGGGTGGTGGGTCCTCTGACCCTCCAAATCTCCCCTCTTCCTGGGGGGGTGAGGACCACGCTGATTTGAGTGTTCTTACATGAGTACTGAGCCAGCTGTGGCTTTTTGGGTGCACCTTTGTGTTCCCTTCCTGTGGAAAGCTGATTTCTTTGTGCTGTACTTCAAAATAGCTCCAGTGTACTTGTAGGAGAGATTGTGGAGAGCTGGCTTTTCTTTTCTCTGTGCTGGAACACAAGTGACACTCTGCATGATGTTCATGTGAGCTACACCCTGTAGGATACCCTGTAAGCCTCAGGCCCTGGGCTATGGCAGGATGGGGAGAGCACAGCTAGATTCAGGCTTGCACTAATTTGATCTCAGTTCAGCTTTAAACTGATTAGGGCACATACAGTGCCAATCCTGAATTACTCCAGTTTATACCTGAATAACTATATACAGCTTTCCACTGAATGAAATGCATGTGTATAAACATACCCCTTCTGTAAATTTAAACAAGGTCTTGAAGCACAACTAACCATTTTTCACCACACAAATCTGCCACTGTCAGATTGCTCCTAATGCTGGGATCCCCTTCTCTGCTGAGCAACAAGCCAGCCCTGCAGTTTGTCCATGATTTGGCCTACAGCACCCAGCTGAGCATCTTCAGTAAGAAAACAATGCAGATAAAGAGGAAGGAAAGAGTGAACCTTGCACAATAAACAAAGGGCACATCTGTCCCCTCCCTGCTAGCTGACAGATACACTATACCAAACACCAGCTCCTAGGAAGTCATCACTTATCCCTGTGTCTTGCTAGACAGCATCTGCTGCAGGTGAGATAATGGATGGACTGTTAGAAGTGATTGTAGATGCTAAGATCCCATTACAGGTGTCATTTCATCTGTCAACACATGGGGAGCTTATATCTGCAACTTCTGTTTGGTGATGGCGAGCTCCAGCGACAAGGAGGCTCCTCAGTGTCAAGCAATACATGTTTCTGTGGGCTGGAGATAACCCATAGCAGCAGTAAGTGTTTTGGGACTCCGCAGCCAAAAGCAGCATTACTCATTTTGGGCAGTCCCTGGAAAAGTCTCCATTCTTGGTACAAACACTACATATCAGGAACGTGGAAAACAATCATGAAGTCCGAGCTGAGTGAGGTCACTCCACCTTTCCTTCCCCTACTGCACTAAAAGTAGTAGAAAACAGCTTTTTTTTTTCATTATCTAGTTGGAAAAAACCTAAAAACTAAACAATCCATGGTATGGTCATGTTCAGCCATAAGCCCTGAACCTGACCCTTGCACTGCATCCCCAATTTACCCAGGAACCAGTTCATTGCCTGAGAGAACCCAGCAGCCGATGGGGTTTTGCCGGCAGCTGCTGCCTTTGGCTCTCTATATCCATGCATACTAATATGAAGGAAAATAGGATGGTAATTTAATCCTATGCCACTAGAAGCAAAGCATCACACAAGCCTGCTCATCCTCTCCTCTAAGTTTAGCCCAACAGTGTATTAAAAAGCTGCTACTGGATTCTCGCCAGCCCCTACTTAGCTAAACTACCTGACTCTGCAAAATAGCAGAAAATTCTCCATTCTGTGTTATTTCTGATCCTTGGGAGAACAACCCACATCTGTCAGGGAACTTGACCCCCTGGGCCTTCAGGAAGTCAGTGTAATTTGGGAAAATGGGTGGAGCGACAAAGGCTTTCTTGTGACATTGGGCATGTTTCCTTCTGCCTGGAGCTGAGCTGCTGGAATCTCAGCTCAGGGCTCTTTCCATCCCTCCACTGCAAGCCCATACACAGTAATGAATAAATCTGTCCCTACTCACTTATAAATAGTTTATAAAAGGTTCATAAATAATTTCTAGATGTTTTAATGAATAGTTAATCAATTGTTGCAGGGCCCAACAGGTCAGCAGATTGCTTATTGTCATCAATTAGAATAACTGCTGGTGAGCTTATAAGCATCAGTAGGACTCTACTGATGTCTGTGACAGGCTTGCAAGCATCTATAAAGAGTTAATAAATAATTAATAAATGATGCAAGTCCTTTTAATTAAAAGCTGTAGAAGGCCATTGAAAAACACATTCTTGGAAAGCTATGGGCAACATGAGTAAGCAAACATCTGGACCTGGATTTGCATTCCTGCCTCCAAGGAGCAAAGCTGGCAGAGAGGTGCCAGCTCGGCCCAGCAGGCAATCCGGCTGCCTGAAGAGCAGCAAATTTCCTTTGTTCAAGGCAATCCAGCAGATTCCAGAGAAGCTCTGTGCCTGCCATGTGCTGGACCAAAGCAGACTGTT